AAATGGGCAGAAATGTAAAATGTTTCCATTTGGTTAGCCAGATAGCTATGTTTCAGATTTCTTGAGGAAGATGAATGAGCAAGGCCTGCATATGTTGTTTGTTGAACTTTATTTGGCATTCTTTGGATTCCAGGGAGATTGTTTTTGCCAGTGCTTCAGTACAGGCTGTACTTCTTCCTTCAGTACTATTGGTTGGTTCTTAATCATATGCTACTTCCTGAAATGGTGCAGTGTTGACCATTATTTTTTGTTATGGTGACTCTCTGTATTCTTTCCATCTTCTATTACTTCCTATATCGTTCAGTCTTTTGCCCATAGAACTCTTCAGGATTGCAACTCGATGCTTGAATTATTTCATCAGCTCTTTCAGCTTGAGAAATGCCAAGTATACTTACTCTTCCTTTTGGTTTCTCTAAGTCTAGGTATTTGCACATTTTGTATAATACTTTGCTTTGTTGTCTTTGACATCTCCTGTTTAGGTTTCTCACTTTATCATTTCTTCCTTTCACTTTAGCATTTCTATGTCCAAGTGCCAGTTTCAAAGTCTGTTTTGACATCCATTTTTGTCTTCTTTCTCTCCTATCTTTTTTTTTTAAGATTTTAATGCAAGTTTATAGAGAACTTGGATTTCCGTTCATTCATTGTTGCACATTTTCCTCCCTGCCCTCCAGTTCACTTTTCTCTTTGGAAGAAAAATTCTTTCATTTTTATACAGTCGTCCCCCACCCCCCAGCCCCTCAGGTCCACTTTACTATGTAGCTCTTATTCTGGCCTCTTGTCATACCAGTAATAACTAATCATAAATCATATATTCCTTCTGTACAGTTCTCTCCCACATCTGTTTCAATGTTGTGCACATTATTTATCCCCTCTTTTCTTATCCCCAACCCCCATGTAAATCCTGTTTTATAACAGTGGCATTATGCAGTATTTGTCCTTTTGTGGCTGTAATATTTCACTCAGCATAATGTTCTCCATGGTCACCCATTTTGTATTACATTTCATGAGTTCTTTGTTTCTCAGTGCTGCATCATATTCTGTTGTGTGATTATACCACAGCTTCTCTATCCATTCGTTTGTTGATGGGCATTCCTGTCTTTTGAATAACGTTTAGCTTTTTTTTTCATGTATGATATCTTTGATGTTGTTTGGTCTTTGGTCAGTAGTGTTTGATACATAAAATAGAGTCTTGAGATAGTCTCTAAATTTAGCTGGAATATTTTCAAGGTTTTATTTTGGTTCTCATGGACTTATTTTCTTCAACTTCAGTTTTAATTTCCATGAGATTAATTGGTAGTCTGTTCCACATTTGGTCCCTGGCCTTGTTCTGATTGGTGATAATGAGCCTTTTTACTATTTCCACAAATTTCTTTTCTGTGTCTCATATCAGGGAAAATCATTGGTCATATAAAATTCTGTCATGTGGTCCCCATCCTCATTTCTATTGCTTAGTTTATATTTTCTGAAAAAAATCAAAACAAGTCCATAAGAACCAAAATATAAGTCTATCCTACCAGAATTGAAAAACCCTCTCAAGAATAGGTTTGAAGCAATGAAACTAATGATCAAAGACCACATGAGTTGTGGGATGGCATCAAGAATATCATCCATGAAGAAAGCAAAAGGTCATTACAAAGACAGGGGAGAAAGAAAAGACCAAAAAGGCTGTAAGAAGAGATTCTGGGGCAGGGGAAAGAAGGACTCTGGAAAGTTCCCTAGAATGTCAAGAAGAAAAAAAAAAGAGAGAGAGAAGAAATGCCATAGTAAAATACACAAACAGAAGATTTCAAAAAGTAACTTGAGAAGCAAAATATTATAATAAAATGTGCAATATGATGGAGTTAGAAAATAAAAAGAGTAGAACTTGATTAGCATTTCTCAAGCTGAAAAAACTGAAAAACAAATTTAAGCCTCAATTCATTCAGTATTTAGATGCTATGGGCAGAATCTTCAATGATCTAGGAAGCATCAAAAGAAGATGGGGGAAAAAGGAAAAAGAAGATGGAAGGAATAGTCACTATACCAAAAAGAACTGGCTAACACAGAACCATTTTTTAGGAAGAAGCATATGATCAAGAATCAATGGTAATTAAAGAAGTTCAAGCTGCACTTAAGCCATTAGCAAAAAATAAGGCCTTAGGAATTGATGGAATACCAGTTGATATGTTTTAACAAACAGATGTAACTCTGTACGTAGTCACCATTCTTTATCAAGAAATTTGGAAGACAGCTATCTGGCCAACTGACTGGAAGAGATCTATATTTTTTCCCATGCCCTAAAAAGGTAACCCATCAAAATATGGAAATGATTGTTCGAACCCACCAGATGCTTCTCTGGAGAAGGAGGGGCAATCTCCTGTGCCAGTCGGATCTGACTTGATGGTACACAACAAGAAAAAAAATGTGCAAACTACCGAGCGATGTCATTAATATCACATGTAAGTGAAATCTTGCTAAGTTTATTTAAAAATGACTAGAACACTATATCAACAAAGAACTGTCAGAAACTCAGTTTGGATTTAGAAGAGGCGGTGGCACCAGGGATATCATTGCAGATGTCAGATGGATCTTGGTGGAAAGACTAATGGAAGGAGGACTATGTGTGTTTTATTGACTGAGCATAGGCATTTATATGAATTATTACAAATTATGGCTAACATTGAGAAGAATTGGAATCCCAAAATACTTAATTGTGCTCATGTGAAACCTATATCTAGACCAAAGAGCTGTTGTCCAAACAGAACCAGGGTCCACTACATGGTTTAAAATAAAGAAAGGTGGGTGTCAAGGCTGTATCCTTTCTCCATACTTATTCGTTCTGTATGCTGAGCAGATCATTCAAGAAGCTGAACTTTATGAAGAAGAATGTGGCATAAGGACTGGATGAGGACTCATCAACAACTTGCATTAATGCAGATGACAAACTTGCTGAAAGTGAAGAGGACTTCAAATGTTTGCTGCAGAAAATCAAAGACAACAACCTTTAATATGGGTCATATCTCAACATCAAGAAAACAGAAATCCTCACCTCTGGGCCAATAGATAATATCATGATAGATGGAGAGAAGATTGAAATTGTCAATGATTTAATCTTACTTGAATCCATAATCAACATCCTTGGTATCATTAGTCAAGAAATCAAAAGATATGTTGCATTGGGAAAAATCTGTCAAAGACTTCTCTAGGGTGTTAGGAACAATGATGTCAGTTTAAAGCCCAAGATGCACCCGATTCAAGTGATACTCTTTTTAATGACTTGCTATACGTCTGGAAGTTGGAAAGTGAATAAGGACGACAGAAGAAGAATCAATGCCTTTGAGGTGTTGGAGAAGAGAACTGAATATCCCATGGACTGCCAGAAGAACAAAGAAATGTCTTGAGAAAAGTATGGCCAAGATGCATCTTAGAGGCAATGATGGCAATGCTTCGTCTCACATATTTTGGTTATGTTGTTGGGAGGATCTATTCCTTGGAAAGGGACGTCATGTTGGGAAAGTTAGAGCGGCAGCAAAAGGGAGGCAAACCCTTAAGGAGGTGTATTGACACTGTGTAGCAATGGGCTCAAGTATATCAAAGATGATGAGGATGGCACAGGATAAGGCAAAGATTAGACCCATTAATTATAATCTCTGTGAGTTGTTGTCAACTTGAGAGCACCATAGCAACAACAATATCAAAGCTTGTTCCCAACTTTTGCATTCTACTCATCAGTTGTTATCAATGTATTCTGATGGCATGTTTGATTGATTTCAGACTGCCCAACTTGGTGTTGTTATGTCCTATTGCATCAAAACCAACTCATAGGGGGTGCTCTGGTGGCCTAGTGGCAAAGAAACTGCACTCCAGTCCCAAAGGCATGGGGTTCAAATCCACCAGCTGCTCTGCTGGAAAAGTAGGGGCAATCTCCTCCTCCTGTTGTTGTTGTTATGTGCTGTCGAATTGCTTGTGACTCATAGCGACCCTATGTACAACAGCCCTAAACTCTGCTCTGTCCTGTGCCAATCTCACTGTCTCTGACACTCCCATCCCAATTACCCCTGTCACTGAATCAATCCATCTCATAGAGGGCCTTCCTCTCCTTCGCTGTCCCTTCACCCTCCCAAGCATGATGTCCTTCTCCAAGGACCAGTCTCTCTTCACAACATGTCCGAAGTATTTTAGATGGAGCCTCAGAATCCTTGCCTCCAAGTAGCCGCCCGACTTAACCCTTTCCAGGATGAATCTGCTTGTTTTCCTAGCAGTCCATGGTACCCTCAATACTCTTCTCCAGCACCACAGCTCAAAGGCATCAATTCTCCTTCTATCCTCCTTGGTCATTGTCCAACTCTCTGATGCATAACAGGTGATTGCAAAGACCATGGCCTGTATCAGACACACCTTAGTCTCCAGAGAGACACCATTGCTCTACAGTACTTTGGAGAGGTCCCTAACAGCAGACTTTCCCATGGCAATGCGCCTTTTAATTTCCTGGCTACTGGTGCCAAGAGTGTTGACTGTGGAGCCAAGCAAACTAAAGCTTTGAACAACCTATCTCCTCCTGTACCACTTGAATTCAGTTTGATGGTACACAACACGAAAAGAAAATATTAAAACAAACAAACCAAAAAAAACCCAAAACTGACTCATAGCTGACCCTGTGGAGCTGACCCTGTGGTGGGTTTTCAGAGACAGTAATAGGCATGAGAGGAGATTGCCTTTCTTTCTCCCATGGAGCAGCTGGTGGATTCAGATCTCCTGGCTTTGGCTTGGCAGCGGAGCTCCTTACCACTAGGTTATCCTCAGTTGCTTATCTTTTGCTTTACTAGTTACTGTGTAAATATGCATAATATTCATATTAGCAGATTGACCTGAGGGTTATTAAAATGGGACTAAGGTGTCCTCTGTCCAGTTAGGTGTGTCCTCTGCCAGTAACTAGCCTGCTAGGATGTGGGCGCTGCCCTCCCGGTAGCTCAGCCTCAGTGCTCTTGGCAGTGATTTCAAGTTTTTGTTCTTTTCTGCAGCACATGGTGATGAGTTTCCGAGTATCTGAGCTCCAGGTGCTTCTCGGCTTTGCTGGCCGAAACAAGAGTGGACGGAAGCACGAACTCCTGGCCAAGGCCCTGCACCTCCTCAAATCCAGCTGTGCTCCCAGCGTCCAGATGAAGATCAAAGAGCTCTACCGTCGGCGCTTTCCCCGGAAGACCCTGGGGTCCTCTGAGCTCTCCCTCATCTCTCTGCCTCCGGGCACCCCTCCTGTAGGCTCCCCTGGCCCTCTAGCCCCGATTCCTCCAGCCCTTTTGGCCCCTGGCACTGTGCTGGGCCCTAAACGTGAGGTGGACATACACCCTTCTCTGCCCCAGCCTGTGCACCCAGATGTCACCATGAAACCATTGCCCTTCTATGAAGTCTACGGGGAGCTCATCCGGCCCACCACCCTCGGTATGCCTCTCCATGGTCCCTCAGTTTTCCTGGACTCCATGCCTCTTCCCCACACCTTTCTTGGACTTCAGCACTGTGAGATCAACACTTTGGGATTGGGGCAACTTCTATGGCTGTCTGTGCAGGGCCTTGGAAATAACATTCCTCCCTTTTGTGTACTCAGCGTCCACTTCCAGCCAGCGGTTTGAGGAAGCACACTTTACCTTTGCCCTCACACCCCAGCAGGTGCAGCAGATTCTCACATCCAGGTACTTCTGAAGTCTTCTCGCCTCATTTCTAAGCGGTTAGCCTCCCACTCTGCTCTCTGATTATCTTCTCTCCCCTGTTCTCCTTCCTGTCTGTCTTGCTACACTGCTTTGTCTCCTTCTCTTCAAGCATCTCTTCTTTATTCCTTGGACAGCTAACTTTCACTCTGAGGGCCACATACTGATCTCTCTCCTCCTTTCTCTCTGTAACAGAGAACTTCTGCCAGGAGCCAAATGTGATTATACCATACAGGTGCAGCTAAGGTGAGCTGGCTCTCTCTCCTTGCCCTGGTAGGTCCCCACTTGAGTTGGGAGTAAAGGCCTGACATACTACTACTCGGATATGCCCCTGCTCTATCGCTGCCCACCCGAGCCTTGGAATGCTTACTGGATATGAAGGGCTACAGATCTCTGTGACTGATTTTTCTGGGCTTGTAGGATTGCCTCCCACTCTTTGATCCTCTTCTATCTCTTGCCAGGTTCTGTCTCTGTGAGACCAGCTGCCCCCAGGAAGATTACTTTCCCCCCAACCTCTTTGTCAAGGTCAATGGGAAGCTGTGCCCCTTGCCGGTAAGTGCTCTTCCCTTGTCTGATGGTAGCTCTCTCCTCTCTTCAGTTGAGTCCTTTCTCCCCTTCAGCTCAATTCAACCAATGTTAACCAGGTACTTGTTATGCACTAAGCATTATGTTAGGTGCTAGGATTACCAAGATGAATGGATCATGGCCCCTGCTGTCACGGGGTCTGTGTGACAAACAAATCCATCAAAAGACATTCCTAGAAAAGAAAGGAAAAAAGATATGCCTAGCATAGAGTAGATACAGTGTTTATGAAGTAAATTAGAATAATCTACAGAATGCTTATTATAGGGCTTAATAAGGATTCTCTCAGAACCCAGAGGAAGGGCATTTGGTTCAACCTAAAAGTTCAGGGAAGACTTCTTAGAAAGGTTGACCCCATAAAGAAATGAAGTGTCCCTCTTTCTCTACCTCAGCGACAGAGTAAGTGGCTTCCTATTTCCTTGGTCAGTAAGCCTTCCTTTCTCTCCAAGGGTAAACTCCACACAGTCTTAGTGTCCTGGTTTTCAGAGTCACTGAGAAGGCCCCCTCACCCTTGGTCATTGAGTAGCTGGCCTTCCCTTTGAGAGTGAGTAATTCAAGACAGAATGTCTTGCCAGAGCAGAGCTCGGAGAACCCTTTCTGTGATGAATCCTTCCCTTTCCTAGGGCTACCTTCCCCCGACTAAGAACGGGGCTGAGCCCAAGAGGCCCAGTCGCCCCATCAACATTACACCGCTGGCTCGACTCTCAGCCACTGTTCCCAATACCATCGTGGTCAACTGGTCATCAGAATTTGGACGGGTGAGCGTGGCAAAGGCAGGGAGCCTGGAGAAGCCTGGGGGTGTTACAGGACAGGGAAGAGGGGTGGGGAGACATCTTCCTCTCTGAACTTTCTGCTTTATTACCCACTGTGTCAGACTTTTATGGGCCAAGGGAGTAGGGGTGTGAAAAGCAGAGGCTGATTGAATCCCCTCCCCATCACCTCCAAGTAGAATTACTCCTTGTCTGTGTACCTGGTGAGGCAGTTGACTGCAGGGACCCTTCTACAAAAACTCAGAGCAAAGGGCATCCGGAACCCAGACCACTCCCGGGCGCTGAGTAAGTAACTTCCTCTCCCTCCCTGCACTCTGATCTGAATGCAAGTCTTCTTGGCTCTCCAGCCTTCATAATCAAACCCATATCCATCTTGAGACAACGTTTTCCCTCTCACATGAGCCCTAACTCTAACCTGATCCCCCTTACCATTTTGTGGTCGAGAGATTGACACTTTTGCCTTCCCAATCATACAGATACTTTGTACTTCATAGTCCCTAACTCTGTCCTTGTAGACTGTTAGGATTCAGAGGGCCTTAAGGTTTATCTAAGCTAACCTTCACATGATGCTTCAGTTTTCTTTAGATCATCTCTGCCAAAGTGTCACCCCATTATGTACCTTCAGGGAAGAGCAAATCTCCCTTTTCATCCTACCTTCATAATCCAGATTCTCGACCCTCTTTTCTCCTAATGTGACACCCCATCAGGCTCCAAAGCACTCTCAGCCAGACCCATCTGATTCTGCCCTCACCAGCTGCTCACCTTCCTCTGTCATCTTGCTGATCCCATATCTCACTCTTATTTCAGTCAAGGAGAAACTGACTGCTGACCCAGACAGTGAGGTGGCTACCACAAGTCTGCGGGTGTCACTCATGTGCCCGGTGAGTCGGAGGGAAGAATGGCAGCATCTCTGGACTTGGTGAAGGTTGTTATGGACACTGGAGTAGGGTTTTCTGGGATGTAGAGACTCTAACTAGAAAACTCACCTTTCCTCAGCTAGGGAAGATGCGCCTGACTGTCCCCTGCCGTGCTCTTACCTGCGCCCACCTGCAGAGCTTCGATGCTGCCCTTTATCTACAGATGAATGAGAAGAAGCCAACGTGGACTTGTCCTGTTTGTGACAAGAAGGCTCCTTATGAATCTCTAATCATTGATGGGTGGGTCTCTTCTGCTCTTTTACCTAGAACAGCCACTAGGCTGCCTCTCACATGAACTCATCCATCTGTCTCCTGTCACCTCATTCTTTCTATCCCTTTTACCACTCTGTATATATATGTATAAGAAGCTCTGGTAGTGTAGTGTATAACACACAGGGCTGTAAACCAAAAAGTTAGCAGTTTGAATCCACCAGCTTCTCTGCTGCTGAAAGAGAAAATTTCATTTCCTCCGATCAATGTTTATGATCTCTGAGACTTGACAGAAGGTCATTATGAGTTGAATTTACCCCAGTGGCGGTGGGTTTGGGTTTCTGGGTTTTTTTAATATCTGTCTATGCCTATGGGGAGCTCTAGTGGGTTAATGGTAAGGAGTGCGCTGCCAACCCAAAGGCAAGCAGTTCGAATCCACCAGCTGCTCTTTGAGAGAAAGTTGGGCAGTCTCCTCCCATGTAATTTACAGCCTCTGAAAATTTGCTTGAAAATCAGCTATGGGTTTCCACTTGATATCACACAATAACATCTCTATACTGACATGGAATACTTACTACATACTAGACATTGTACTAAATACTTTACATGCCTTATGTCATAGAGTCCTTAACAAAAACTTTGTAAGATGCTGTTTTTACAGATGAGATGTTTTTACTATACTGAGGCATAGTGAGATTATTTTGCTTAAAGCTATACAGCAGGTCCTCTGGTGATGAATGTCTGACTTACAGAGAGCTCCTATTTGCCCTTTAATGCCATGTATATTTACTCTGCCTTTGAACCAGCTTCTACTGAGAAATCCCAAAAAAGAGCTGCTACACCTTTAGTTTGCTTGGCTCCACAGTCAACAGTCCTGGCACCAGCAGCCAGGAAATTAAAAGGCACATTGCCATGGGAAAGTCTGCTGTTAGGGACCTCTCCAAAGTACTGAAGAGCAATGGTGTCTCTCTGGAGACTAAGGTGTGTCTGATACAGGCCATGGTCTTCACAATCACTTGTTATGCATCAGAGAGTTGGACAATGACCAAGGAGGATAGAAGGAGAATTGATGCCTTTGAGCTGTGGTGCTGGGAGAAGAGTATTGAGAATACCATGGACTGCTAGGAAAACAAACAGATTTGTCCTGGAAAGAGTTAAACCAGGTGGCTCCTTGGAGGCAAGGATTCTGAGGCTCCGTCTAACATACTTTGGACATGTTGTGAGGAGAGACCGGTCCTTAGAAAGGGACATCATGCTTGGGAGGGTGGAGGGACAGCGCAGGAGAGGAAGGCCCTCTATGAGGTGGATTGATTCAGTGACTGGGGTAATTGGGATGGGAGTGTCAGAGACAGTGTGATTGGCACAGGACAGAGCGGAGTTTAGGGCTGTTGTACATAGGGTCGCTATGAGTCGCAAGCAACTCGATGGCACATAACAACAACAACAACAATTTTGTGTAATTGATTGCAACTCAGAGTGACCCTATAGGATAGAGTAGAATCACCCTCTAAAGTTTTCAAGGCTGTAGGTATTTATGGACACCGTTGTTGTGTACTGAGTTGGAACCAACCCACAGCTGACCCTCCAGCAGGTTTTCAGAGGCAGTTAATCACATGGGAGGAGATTGCCCATCCTTCTCACTTGGAGCAGCTAGTGCATTTGAACCATGTGTCTTTGGGATTGTAGTGCAGCTTCTTGCCACTAGAGCTCTGGAAACAGACTAGACATCTTTTTCCTGTGAAATAATTAGTGGATCTGAACCTCTGGCCTTTTTGTTAGCAGCTAAGTGCTTTAACCATCACACCACCAGGACACCTTACACCAACCCCTTCTTGTAACAACCTCTTTATAACATTCACCTTCATCTGCTGTGTATATAGCTGTTAAATCATTGAAAAGGCTTTGAGGCTTTTCTTGCATTAATTAAAAAAAAAAAACACCAAAAACCAAGCCCACTGCCACCATTTGATTTTTTTTTTTAATTTTATTCGTTTTTTCTTGTTTGTACAGTCAAACCCGATACCACTGGTATAGGAGATTACCCTTCCTTCTCCAGCAGAGCAGCTGGTGTATTTGAGTCACGCACCTTCAGGATTACAGTGCAGCTTCTTGCCACTAGGCCACCCGAGCTCCCTGTTTGATTTAATTCACAGTGACTGTCCATCAGGTTTCTGAGGCTGTAAATTATTGTGGGAGGAGACTGCCTCATCTTCCTCCAGAGGAACCACTGGTGGATTTGAATGCTGACTTTTAGGCTAGCAGCACAACATGTAACACTATACCACCAGGCCTCCTTTTCCTTAAAAGGAGCATTAAAGCAAGGCTAAATAAGAACCTTATTCAACCTATTGTGATGTACCTACAAATTATTTTTTTTTTTTTTCTGGCACATAACAACAACAACAAATGATTGTGAGGGTTTGGTTTTGTTTGGCTTTTTTCCCCCTTACCTACAAATTCTTAAAGACCCAGGGATAGATCTCATTTGTAACCCAGAGACTTGCCTCTATTGTAAATAAGTGGTAGAGCCAGGATTTGGAAATGTTAAACTGTATTTTGTCTGTAACAGCTTTCCAGCCTCTCACAGCAATAAAGTGCTTTTGAGAGACTGGGTATGCTAGTCCCAACCCTTTCTAGAGTCTACATATGCTTCTTGTTTTCAGGACCTTTTTAAGATGGTTTTATGAAGTTTTTTAAAATCTCTGACCCTCTGTCTTTCTCTTGGTAACACACATAATAGGCATTCAGAATGCACGTATGTTTAAACCTGGCATTTAGACTTTGCAAAGCTCTATTACATACTTTGATTATAGCAACTCAGGTCAATATAAGATATATCCCTCTTTGACAATGAGGAAGCCTGAGGTACAGGAAGGTGAGTGGTGGAACACTATGCCTGCTGTTCCAGCCATCTCCTCGCCCCATGAATTCCTATCCTCCTCTCCCCCAGTTTATTCATGGAGATTCTTAATTCCTGCTCTGATTGTGATGAGATCCAGTTCATGGAAGATGGATCGTGGTGCCCAATGAAACCTAAGAAGGAGGCATCTGAGGTTTGCCCCCCACCAGGGTATGGGCTGGATGGTGAGTGACACCCTGTCCTCCAGCTGAGCTAAATACTAGACGGCCTCTTCGCTGAGACAGTCTTCTCACTACCCGCAGGCCTCCAGTACAGTCCTGTCCAAGAAGGAAATCCATCAGAGAATAAGAAGAAGGTTGAAGTTATTGACCTGACATTAGAGAGCTCTTCAGATGAAGAGGACCTGCCCCCCACCAAGAAGCACTGTCCTGTCACCTCAGCCAACATTCCAGCCCTGCCTGGAAGCAAAGGGTACAAGGAGATGGGCTTTGTGTACAGCAAAAGGAATAGGGGAAGAAGTAGGGGTGCTTTCTGGTCACTGGGCAAACCCTAGGGGCAAGAGAATGGGGAAAGGGCACGGACAGGACCTGGAAGGAGATTGAGCTGGGTGAGGGCATCTGTGGTTTGCCAGTTGCTTCATCTTCTCTCCCTTCAGAGTTCTGACTTCTGGCCACCAGCCATCCTCAGTGCTGCGGAGCCCCACAATGGGCACGTTGGGGGCAGACTTCCTGTCTGCTCTCCCACTACATGAATACCCACCTGGCTTTTCACTGGGGGCTGACATCCAAGGTATGACAGTAGTCACAAGGTGGGGCCCTGAACTGTTATGCCTCTCCCAGAAACCATCAGAACCCTGTTCCTTTTCAAAGCCACCCAGTGCTCCACAAAGGGCCCACAATTTAAAGAATTTCTCTTTTTTGGCAGTGGAAGGGCCATACAGGAGACTAATTGTGATATTTCTTTTCCTGCTAGGTTTAGATTTATTTTCTTTCCTTCAGACTGAGAGTCAGGTGAGTGATCCGTTTTCCTTCTGTGAAGATCTTAATTCTCTGAAGCTTTCTAGGTACTGATGGGCTGTCATATTTCCCCCAAGCACCTGAATTGGCATTTCTGAGAGGAAGGGAGGAGTGGGGGCAGGCAGCTTATGTCTCTCCTGGGCCGCACGTCCTCACATTGCTACTCATGTCTGCCTAGATCTGCTGGTTTCTGGTCTACCCCAACCTGCTCACTCAACACCATGCTTATTCCCTCTGGACATTCCACACATTTCAAATGCCCACAAGGCCAGGGACCTAGTGTAAGCTGTATTGGGACAGGAAAGCCAAAGGATGGGGTATAGAGAAGTAGGGGAATGGGCCAAAGAGAGGCTTTTCTCTTTTCTGAGAAAGTATGTGTGATCCACAGAAGTTGATGTACACATATTGTTTCTGAGCTAAGTGGTGGGGAGGTGAGTGAAGTCAGGATAAAATCTTAACCCGTGCCCTTGATTCCTCTCAGCATTATGGTCCTTCTGTCATCACCTCGATAGAGGAGCAGGATGCGATTGGCCACTTCTTCCAGTACCGGGGACCCCCTTCACACTTCCTGGGCCCATTGGCCCCACTGGGGAGCTCCCACCGCAGCTCCCCTCCAGCACCCCCTCCGGGCCGTGTCAGCAGTATTGTGGCCCCTGGGGGGACTCTGCGGGAGGGACATGGAGGAACCCTGCCTTCGGGCCCCTCCTTGACAGGCTGTCGGCCAGACATCATTTCCCTGGACTGAATCTCCTGGATTGTGGACCCTGTACCGCCCCCCAACACTGAGCAAGCATGAAGTGGAGTCCAGATTCCTGGCCAGTCTGTTGCCACTCTCACCCCTTGGGGGACTTTGGCCAAAGGCCAGACAGACCTTCATGGATGCCTGACTTTTTCTCTCATCTCTGCCTGACAAGGCCAGCACCCAAAGGGTTAATATCAACCTCTTTTTAAGGACATATGGGGTCTATTTTTGGAAATGCTCTTTCAATGATTGCACATTCCTTTGGGTATATTAACCTAGGCAGTGGCAGACAAATGATGGGAATTGAGTTGGGGGAAGGGCTGAATCAGCCTTAATATTCTTAGAGCCTTGTGAGCAGGGGGTCCTTCTCTGTCCCCTGGATGTCCTGTCCTCCCATCCCTCAAACCCATGGCTCTATTCCTTCCCCACATCCATTGTCTTTACACCCATTCCGTTGTCTCAGACAAATGGTGAAAATGAGACGGACACATGGACCGAGAACTCTATTTTGGGTTGCAAATTTTTTGGTGTACATAAACAAGAAAAACCAAATACTCCAAAGATGACTTTCCCTGCCTCCCACTTCCCAGTATGACTGAGAAGGCGAGGCCTTAGCCCTGGCCCCGAGGAGTCTGGGATTCGTGCCTGGCCTCTTGCCTGGATCTTTCTCTATTTATATATTTAATTCACAATGCTGACCAGCTCCGGGCTGAAACTTCCAGAGGCCTGTGGTTGGTTTGTTCTGCACCTTTTCTGGGAGGTAGGAGGACCCTTGTGACCTTCCTTCTCAATCTTTTTTAGGGTCCTCCAGGACCTAGAACTTATGTTGTAATTTTTCCTTTTTATTCCCAAAGTTGTAGCAAAGTTCTCACCCCTAATAAAGGTTGTGAATGTTCTGTTGAGTGTCATAGAGGTGGGTTAAGGAGGGACTTGTGGACTTTGGGGAAGAGGATTCATATTTGGTCTTCTTTGGCTGGCCATGGGTTCAGGCGAGCTCCACTTTTCACATGGGGTTGTCACTGAAGAGAAACAAGAGCATTTAGTCATTCCCTCCTTTCTCTTCCCCATTTCCAGAAAACACAGCTAGACCATCCTGTCCAGGTGTGTGGTGCCCTCAAGTACTCCTACCTGCTCAGGTGTTGCAGCCAGAGCTTGAGAGCAAACTTGGTCCCTGTGCTGACCCTTTCTTCGCCCTCTGCTGTGGTTGGGGTAGTCCGCAGCATTGTGGACATGGGCAGGGACAGAGGTTGGGTTTCTCCATTCTCCTGCAGCTCCACTGCACTGTGTAATGACAACTTATGTGTGGGCTGTGCCTTGTGGTTTACAAAGCACTTCCATCTCCATTAGGTCATTTAATCACAATCGTAGGAGGGGGCAGGTGGGGGTTAACTTCATCTTACAGAAGGGAAATGGGTTCAAGATGGAGAAATTACTTGCTCCCTGTAGGAGAGCTGGGCTTGGCTTGTCTTAGCCAGTCAGAGCAAGTTCCATTGAGTTGGATGGCTCTATCTGTAATATTGGGTGCTCTGACCAGTTTATCCCTGACAGCACACAGTTCCCCCACAGCGCAAAGTTCCCCCACAGCACACAGTTCCTGAGAAGGGGACAGAAGCAGAATGTTACCAGTGTGGTGATGTTGGCGTGTTGTGGAAACACTTACGGGACAAAGGGTGGTAGGTCCTGGGGGAGAGTTCTGGTTGTCTCTGTTCCATCCTCTGTGGCAGCCACTGCGGCTGCTACATCTGGTCTCAGCCACATAAAGGCGTTCACCTCACTTGGGTTTGGTTGGATCCTTGCCTAAGGCCAGATATGTTGATCCCTCAGGCAAGCCTCTCCCTGGGAGGTCTGTTTTTGACCACAGCTGACCCACAAGTGGAATAGAGAGTCATGGGACAGGGCTGGGGGGAGGCTGTTGCTGGGTGGTTACTCTCTTACCCTCCTGTAGGTCCCCTCTCCTACCTTTATCAGAGGAAGAACCGATTGCCTGGGCACCTCTGAGCCCCATTTCCTTCTTTCACTGCCAGCCCTACCTGCAGCTGCTGCTGTGACTCCTGGGAGATGACTAGTAGATAGAGAACGATGTGATGATATTTGGGGAATCCCCAGCTCAGCCTAGGTGGGTAGGCCGACTAGGAAGGAAATTGTGAAAACTGAGAACTTGCTCTTTTTGAGATTGCAAAATACAGTTTTGCGGTAAAACAATGCTGGCTCAAAGCTGAGAAACTGGCTGGTAGAGATGGTCCTGCAGGGTCCTGGGTGAGGGAGGTGGGTGTAAAGAACAAGATGTCACCCTCTCCCAAGACAGTGTACTGATGGTAGAAGCTGCTGAGAGTTATTTAGAAGGACCCTCTGTCTTACCTCCCATAACCCCAGAGGGATCCAGCAGAACTGGCCCTGAGCCAGCTGTAGTCCTGTCTCTTCCCAAAGCTCTCGAAGTCCTCCATCCAGCAGCTGGGAATTGGAGAGAGGAGGTTCAAGTACTCCAAAGTTCTAAGGCCCTTTTGTTTGCCCTTCCTTCAGCCCACACCCAGATTTAGGTCTCAGGTTAATGGTGCAGGTTGAGTTGCCTGACTGGTTACCTCCTCCTCCAGTTCCACGTGCCCACCTGCAAAAACAGACCAATGTGTGAGAAGGGACCTCTGGTGGCTCAGTGGTAGTGAGATGGGCTGCCAACCCAAAGGCATACACTTTGAATTTATTAGCTGCACTGACAGGGAGAAAGGTGGCCAATCCTTCCCTTTAATTTTGTTGTAAGGTGCCATTGAGGCGACTAGAACTCATAGCGACCCTATGAACAATGGATCAGGAGCCCTGCCTTATCCTGTCCCATCCTCCCCATCCCGAAAACACTTGATTCCATTGATACTGCCTCTGAAAACCTGTAGGATTAGCTATGTTTCTGAGCAGGTAGCACATAATTATGAGAGGTGGTGGGCTTGGCCCTTGACTCGCTACTGTGTGTTCACACTGCCCTCCCTCTAGTGGACACAGGTGTAGTTGCAGCCCCTAGTTCTAGTGGTCAGGCCACCTTTTTTGCCCACTCACATTTCCATCATCATGGGACTGGGGATAACTATAGGGGTTGGGAGAAGGCAGCTTCCTTAGACTTTGGGCCTTGGTCTCCAGGGTGCTCACCTGGGGGTACCCAGAGATTGGGGGAAACTCTGAGGGTGCGCGTCCGTCGTGTCAGCAGAACACTCTGCTCGCTGGATTGCAGAAGGACAGCCACACCCAAGTCCACACTTCGGTTTGTGGGTAATTCGGTCTGGGGAGCGCTGGGCTGCTGGTCCAGGGCCGCAAAAGGGCAGAAAGGGGGTCGCTAGTAGGAAGAAACCAGCAAATTTAGACTTCTGGATCAGCTGTGCGGGAGTCGGGTAGGGTGGATATGGCCTTTATAAAATGGGCTAACACCTCGTGGTAGAGGCCAAATGGGGCGGACTTGCGGGGCACCCAGGGCTTTTGCTTTCTGCTCCCAGCGTCTCCCCAGGCCTCTGCGCAGCCCTGCACTCCCCGCCGCTGGTCACCACCTCCCCAGACCTGGAGAGGAAGTGTGGTCGAGGCATCTGGGAACGGCCTGTCCGAGAGGACGAGCTGTCCCCGCTTGAAGCTGCAGTGCGTGGGTCGGGGGCAGAGTGCCTGCCCGGCGCCCAGGAGTCCGCACACGCTCCGCGCGAAGCTGGCCGGTTCCGGGTTCCCGGACAGGAGCAGCAGCACCCGCGCGGCGGCCATGGCGGCTCCCGCGCTCCGGACGCCCGGCGCCCTCTGGTGGCCCAGCGGCTCCTCTGCTCCTCCCTCGGGGTCGGGTAGGAGGAAGCCAGGCCTCCCGAACTGGAGGTGGGAAATCAAAACGTAGCCCAGGGGACCGTCAGTGGGTGGAGTGTTACTAGATGGCAAAGAGGAAAACCTCTTCAGCTTCACTTCAGTTCAGTCTCTCCATCTTTTCTGTCTAGAACAGTGATCCCTGGATGAACTTACATGTTAATCTTCCGCCAGCACTTATACATGTATGTTATACTAGGTATCAGCTCGAACTGGTTAAATCTGTCTTCAAGTCAGATACCCAGGAAACATTCTGGATAGTATTAGTCATTTTACACAAAGTGCAACAGAGTGCGGCAGATTCTGTCCCTCCATCTTAACTCCATGTCTTTATCTCCATCTCTGGACCTTCATTTGCCCTGTTGTTGTTGTTGTTATGTGCCATCGAGTCACTTGCAACTCATAGTGACCCCTATGTACAACAGCCCTAAACCCTGCTCTTATCCTATGCCAATCGCACTGTCCTCCGACACACCCATCCTGATTACCCCAGTCACTGAATCAATCCACCTAAAAGGGCCTTCCCCTCCTGCACCTGCCCTGTACCCTACCAAGTATGATGTCCCTCTCCAAGGACCGGTCCCTCCTTACAACATGTCCAAAGTGTGTCAGACAAAGCCTCAGAATCCTTGTCTCCAAGGAGCAGTCTGGTTTAACCCTCTCCAGGATGAATCTGTTTTCTTGGCAGTCCATGATATATTCAATACTCTTCTCCAACACCACAACGCAAAGGCATCAATTTTCCTTCTATCCTCCCTAGTCGTTGTCCAACTCTCTGATGCATAACAAGTGATAGCAAAGACCATGGCCTGTATCAGATCCACCTTGGTCTCCAGAGAGACACCATTGCTCTTCAGTACTTTGGAGAGGTCCCTAACAGCAAACTTCCCCTCACCAATACGTCTTTTAATTTCCTGGCTGCTGGTGTCAAAGAGTGTTGACTGTGGAGCCAAGCAGACGAAGGCTGTGAACAATCTCAATCTCTTCACCATCCATCCTGATGCTGCCAATTGGTTCAGTGGTGAGAATCTTTGTCTTCTTGATATTGAGCCTCAGTCCATATTGAAGGCTGCAGTTCTTGACCTGCAGCAAGTGCTTCAGGTCCTTCTCAGTTTCAGCAAGCAGGGTTGTGTCATCTGCATAATGCAGATTGTTGATTACTCTTCTACAAATCCTGACACCACACTTCTCATAGAGCCCAGCCTCCCGGATAATCTGTTCTGCATACAGGTTGAAAAGGTATGGAGATAGGACACATCCATGGTGTACGCCCTTCCCAGTTCTGAACCATGAAGTGTTTCCCTGCGCTGTTCTGACGACTGCCTCTTGGTCCAACTATAGGTTTTGCATTAGAACGATCAAGTGTTCTGGGATTCCCATTCTTCTCAGAGTTAGCCACAGTTTGTTATGATGCACACTGTCAAATGCCTTTGCATAATCAATGAAACACAGATAGACATTCTTCTGGTATTCCCTGTTTTCAGCTAAGATCCATCTAACATTAGCTACAATATCCCTAGTATCACTACCCCTTCTAAACCCAGCCTGTACCTCTGGCAGTTCTCTGCTAATGTGCTGTTCCAGTCATTTTGAATAATCTTCAGTAGAATCTTCCTTGCATGTGAAATCAATGATATTGTTCTATAGTTTCCATACTCTGTTGGGTCACCCTTCTTTGGAATGGGAACAAATATAGATCTCTTCCAGTCATTTGGCCCCATGGTCATTTGCCCTAGTTCGTCTTAATCATAGTCCACTTGCAATATTACCATAAGTCTCCAAGTAGTCCTGCTTCAAGCTTTTCCTGAACAATTCACTAATTTTTAACCAATTCACATTTTATAGTGCTGCTGAAGTGCGCTCAGTCTAAAACACAACCTGTTGTTTCCCACTACTTTCAGGATAAGGCCAACACCAAGTGTTGCAAGGACCCACCAGTTCTTAACTCTGCCTGTTTCCCTGTTTCAGTTCTGGCAGCACACTCTTTTTCAAGTTTCTCCAAGAAGCAGGATGGCCTCTCATACCAAAGCTTTACCTGGAAAAACCTCTTTCAAACTATAGGTTAAGTGTCCACTTTTGGATTCTTTCTTTCCTGCTTATTAATCCTTTTTCCTTTGGTGCTTCTCTATTCTTAAAACATTCCCACTAAACCTACTGAATTCGTATGCTGAAGAATGTGGACTGAGGAAGACTCATCAACAATCTGCAATATGTAGATGACATAATGTTGCTTACAGAAAGCAAAGATTTGGAAGAATCTGTGATGGAAAACACCAAGAAAAAAAATACAACTTGACCAATCAGTAAACAACATCATAATAAATGGAGGGATGATTGAATTTGTCAAGGATTTCATTTTACTTGGATAAACAGTCAACAACCATGGTAGCAGCAGTCAAGAAGGCAAATAACATATTGCATTGGGCAAATCTGCTACACCTTATCTATAGTGCTAAAGAACAAAGATACCACTTCAACAACTAAGGTGTTCCTGGCCCAAGCGTTGGTATTTTCAAGTGTTTCATATACATATAAAAGTTGGACAGTGAATAAGGAAGACCAAAGAATTGATGCCTTTGAATTGTGGAGCTATGGAAGTGAATCAAATGTTGTATAGACTGCCAAAAGTACAAACAAATCTGTTGGAAGAGAGTGCAGTTAAAAAAATGTTATCAGGAGGGACCAGTCCCTGGAGAGGAGAATCATGCTTGTAAAAAAGTGTAGTGTCATCAAAATAAGAGGAAGACCTTCAACAGGATGGAGTGACACAGTAGCTGTGACAATGGATTGAAGTGCAGCAGACATTGTGAGGGTGGTGCAGGAGCCATCGTAATGGCTATAACAACATACGTGCTTTCTCTTGTCTCTAAATTTAAAAACTCAAATGCATTACTTAAATGTCTAGTAAAAATCAACCTAATAGCTGACCCTCCAGCAGATTTTCAGACTGTAAATCACACAGGAGATTCAAACACTTGCTTTTGTTGTGGCAGCACAACTCCCCCTTCTCTAAATCATGTGAACATATTTATCTCCTCTCATTATGGTATAGAGAAGCTTAGTGGGTAGGGGGTTCAGCTGCAAACCCAAACACCGGTGATTGGAATCCACCACAGGCACTTCCCTCTGTTGTGGTTTAAAGCCTCTGAAAACCTGTTTGGGGGTCTGCTACAAGTCAGTTCCAGCTCAATGGCCATGAGTCTGGCTTTTTCCCTTGTTTAGAAGGCTTTATGTTGTTAGATATCCTCAACAGTGACTCAAAGTGACCATATGAACAACAGATTTGACACCTTGCCTTATCCTGCACCATTGTCAGTGTTGTAATCACTGTGCCAATCTGTTTTGTTGAAGATCTTCCTCTTTCTCTGACCTCCCATCTTTCCCAGCATGGCATCTGTTTCCTGGAACTGCCCTCCCCCCTGACAATATGCTCAAAGTATGTGTGATGAAGTTTCACCATTTTTGCCTCTAAGGAGCATTCTGGTTATACTTCCTCCAAGACAAGTTTGTTCTTTTGGCAATCTAGGCTATATGGTGAAGGCTTATTTAATCTTGTATCCCTAAGGCTGGCAATCAGAAAGCTGGACAGTCATTTCACAGACCTGGTCTGAGTTTTGTGAGGATAATTAACTCTGAGGAAAGTGACCCTACAGAGCCTTTGTCCAATGATACAGTTTTCACAAAGTTTGTGAAATATCTGTATGTAACCTATTGTTGTTGTTGTTGTTGTTGTTGTGTGCCATCGAGTTGTTTGCGACTCATTAAAAAAAAGAGAGAGAGAACTGATGCCTTTGAGCTGTGATGTTGGAGAAGAGTATTGAATACACTGTGGACTGCTAAGAGAACAAACAAGTTCATCCTAGAGAGGGTGAAACCTGGTTGCTCCTTGGCGGTAAGGTTCCTGAAGCTCCGTCCGACATACTTTGAGCATGTTGCAAGGAGGGATCAGTCCTTGGAGAGGGACATTATGCTTAGGAAGGTGGAGGGGAAGATCCACGATGAGATGGATTGACCCAGTCACTGGAGTAATGGGGATAGGTACATCAGAAATGGTGAGGTTGGCACAGGATAGAGCAGGGTTCAGAGCTATTGTACATAGGGTCACTATAAGTCACAGGTGACTCAGTGGCACATAACAACAGACAAACAAGGCTGGCATACAGTAGGTGCTCAATAAATTATCTATATAATATATTATATATAATAATTATATATTATATATATATATATTGTTGTTGTGTTGTTAAGTGACTTCGAGTCACAGGTGACTCATAGCAGCCCTATGAAGGCGAGTCCTCAACGCTTTCATCCTCTCTCCAGGTTCATAGGGTTTCCAGAGGCAAGCTGTTATGGAAGTGGATGCCACTCCTCCTTCCAAATATACATATACACATATGTGTGTGAGTGTGTGTGTGTGTGTGTGTGTGTGTAGTAAGTATCTTGGGGACAGAGATAATATGTTATTTCTTTTTATAGATTGTCTCTAAAATAGTACATAGCAATCAAGAAGCATTCAATTGTTAGAGAAAACAAACAGTGGTAAGAAACTGAAAATATTATAAAACAACAGCTAATTGCTTTAAATGAATGGAAGTCTCCTGCTGGGACAAATTATATCCATGTTAGAATTACCATTCCTCCTCCATGTTCATTCCCTCTCAATTTTACTGTTGTTGAGAATATACACAGAAAAAACCACACACTAGGGCAATAAATTTCTACAAGTACATTTAGTGACATTAATGACTTTTTATTTTTTTTAATGAAAATTTACAGAGATTTTTGATTCCCATTCATTGTTGCACTTTTCTCCCTGCCCCACCCTCACTCTTCTCTTTGAAAAGTAAAAGTCTTTCATTTTTATACAGTCGCTCCCCCCACTCCACTATGCAGCCTTCGTTCTGGACTCG